AATAGTAGTTAATATTATAGAAGTTAAAATTTTCAAAGACTAAAATAAACATAGTTTAAAGTTTAAAAAATAAAAACAGAGTAAATAATAGAGGTTTTGGATATAAGAAGATCTAAAAGATATAGAGTATAACAAATAAGAGATGTTTGAAATATGGAAGCTCACTTGAAGACCTGAGTAAATAGATAACTCAAACCTTTGATGGTGCTACTGTAAAGACTAAACTTGTGAAATAGACCTAGAACTTGTAAAACTAGACAAATGTGCCAGTCTTTAAGAAGGAACCAGATGAACCAACCAGACTACTGAAATTTACAGGTTTTAGAGAAAAAGGATACATGTTAGCAAATATATAAATCAGAAGTACAGTCTTACTTTACTTTTCAGAGCTATTTGGAATGACAGCTTAGTAGAACTTGAATTGAATACCAAAGTAGTAAGAATATGTTGTAAAGTCAGTACCAGAGTTGGGATAAACTCTACAAAGACATAATAGTTTAATGGTATGCTCTAACTGCCAATATTAGTTTCAACTAAAGCAATATTAGATCAGCTATAAAAATAGGATACAGAAGATTCTGGAAGGTTTAATACAAGATCAAAGTTTTCCATATGAGTGAACTGCTTTAAAAACTTAGTGGCCATGGCATATTTTTATCAGCATCAGCCAGGGTCATTAGTAGGCTGAGATAGGTAGATAAATATAGAAGCAAAGTGATTAAATAGAAAACCTACAAATGGGTTCCAGGTATGGCAGTTAGTATAGAACCTTTGGGCAGACTACTTAAATTAGACAATAACTAAAATTGTATGAGTGGCTAGTTGTATATTCTCTTCATGGTTTTCTCTTATAGTTGTAATGCAACTATTAACCAAATATACTATTAATAAAATCCTGGATTGCAAGTACTTACCTTAATATTTAAAAAAACAAAAAACAAATAAAAGATGTAACAAATAAAGAAGTATGATAAATAAGAAGTGTGATGAGTAAAAAAATATAACAAATAAGAGAATATAACAAATAACTAGTACAAAGTGTGCAAGTTAAGTAGTTACAATAATTAATATTAACCAAATTTTTGTATTAGTTAATTGAACCAAAAATAAAAAAAGTTAAAATTTGTATTAAATTAATTAATAATGTAACTGTTAATAGTAATCTGCAGGTGCTAGACATTCTAAAATACAGAATCTTTTTTTTTTAAAAAAAATTTTTTTTACAAAAAAAGAACAGAAATTTCATAAGAGAGTTTAAAGATTTTTTGTATAAAACCTTCAATATTAATTTAATATAGATATATAATATATCAAAATAAAGCTCTAAATTAGTTTTGTTATTTTTTTAAATAACAACTAAGATTAATTTAATAAAATATTGAAATATTTAAGAAAAAGTATCTTGCAGTTTAAGAGATATATCTTACTATAAAAAGATTCAAGAAATATAAAACTAGGCTGCTTATATGTAAAATTTTGTATAAATAATTTTACTTAGAAGATCAGAAGATGTTTATTTAATAAATTATTTAGTTATTTTTAGTTTGTTATTAGAGAATTTTGGCACAAATGATTATTGAAAAGAGTTAATAATTTGCATTCAATTTTATTTTTGCTATTTGACAACATTAATAAGATCTTTATAAAAGAATTTATAATACTTTTCTGCTATAAACTATTGATTCTATATTATTACATCTGTAAAAAGATACTTTTGCAAATCACTATTATTATATATATACTAGAGTAGTTAATTAAATATGTTAGCAATATTAATATATTTATTATAATTAAATATTATTTTTATTTAATTAATAAAAAAAGTATAAAATTTTAAAATATTTATTTTGTTTTTTTTTGTATTAAAGTTTCTGTTTTTAAGAAATAATTTTTATTTAAATATAAAACTCAAATGTCTTTAAGAGCTCTCTTATATAAAAGATTATAATTAGTTATATATGTAGTTTTAATATCTAATTTAAGTAGTTTGCTTATATATTTCTATATAAATTCTATACTAGGTGTTATATCTGCAAGCCAACTACAAGTCTTATTTATTTAAATTTTCTGTATATGTAATTCATATTGTATTATAAAAATATTTTCAAAATATAATCTATTTAAGTTCTTGATTCTTATTAATATTTTTAAAATTACTTTATTATTAACAAAAGACTTATTAAAGCTTATTATGTTTTATATACAATTAACTTAATTTTATATAACATATTATAGTTATTCAACATTTGCAGTTATAAGAATTACCTGTTTAATTATTATATTATTTTATTTTTATTTTTATAAACTTTACTAGATCTTTGATACTTATCTTTTTAATATCTTTTCTATTATTTTTTACTAATTATTATTCAGAATTAATAGACTCAAACAAGACTACCAATTCAGATAATTTGATATAGTATATTTCTGTATTTTTTTTTTTTAATAAATCTAATAATCTGATTAGTTATATGCTCTTCTATATATATTTTATATTCTACTTATTTAATCTGTTTTTTTAAAAATGTTTTATGAACTTTAATTAGTCTGATAATATTATCAAAAATCCATGCTACTTTTTTATTTAGAAATTTTCAATTAGATTTCTGTTATCTTTGTTTCTTAGTCTTTTATACTTAATAATCTTATTATGAATTTGTACTAAAGTTTTATATAATATCAGTAAACATTTTTTTATATATATATAATATTATACTTTATATAAATATCCTAAACTTTTAAGTTATTATATTTGATATACTTTAATTATAGTCATATAAGACTAACTAATTAACAGAAAATAGTTATTATAATATAAATATAATTTTCAAATTTTATTATAAATAAGTTTTAAATATTAAATCTGTCTTAAAAATGGAATGATCTAGTAAAGTGGATAGGTTATTAACTCTTAAGTAGCAGGTCTAAGATTCAATTCTCATAGATAATGAATTTTAAAAATTATATCTATGTTATGATAACTGTCTCTTGTCAATTGGTTGGGTTTTAAGCATCTGTAATCTTAGATATACCAAGTTGGATCCTATCTGATATTGGATGTAATATTATATATATATAGAAGAATATAAAAAACTAGTGTTATATAAGGCTTTGGTGCAAACTCATAATAAGACTACTGAGCATAGAAGATAAAAAGAAAATCTATTTATAAATTCTAAGTAAAGAAATAATACAAATTTTTAACAATATTGTTGAACTAATAGAAACCTATGAAACATATTCATAGGAATTGTTGGATAAACTGAATGTTAGGTATATAAGAAAAACACATGCATCAACTAGGATACTAAAATCAATAAAAAAAAAAGATATATAAGTATACTATACTAGGCTATCTGAATTAAAAATCTGAGAAGTCTGTTAGTTTTGAGTTATAACTAGTAGAAAATGATAAAAAAAATATCAGAAAGATGTATATCAGAGTTTGAATAAACTTTACAAGAGTAATAACAATTTAATAAATAACTCTAACTGCAAGTTTTGATCTTGACCATAATGTCAAACCAGATTAATAATAAAAAGAAATATGACTCATTCTGATAGATTTATCTTAAGAATAAAAATAATCTAAAAATTATAATCCTAAAGGTCAATAATATAAGATCTGGATCTGTGATTTGATGAAATTAATATTAGGATCAGATCAGAAGGTTTAAATAAACATCTAAGCAAGGGTGTTAGGTATAACAACTGATAGAAAACCTTCAGGTGAACTCTTTAAATAGGTAATATAGAAAAGTTACACATGTAACCAGTTATACACTTGTCTGATAGTTCAATATAGATATGTCTATATGTATATATGCTCAATATAAGTATTAAAAAAAGTTAGGACCAAAAGAGGTCATCTTAATACAAAAAAAAAAAACATTAAATCTGTCCTTAGCAGATAACAACTCAACCACTATATTAGAATTATTATTCTCAATATTTATTTTGTTTATTTTATTTCTTTTCTAATTTTTATTATTATTATTTAACTAAAAACTCACTGCAAGAATTATATTTAAAAAAATTACAATTATGTTTAATTTTGTGAAAATTTTAGTAATATTTCAACTTGTATATTTAATCATAATTTTTTTTTACTCCAATCAATGAAATTTAGAAGCTCTATTATAAAATTTAATGCATAGCTTTATTATCCAACATTAATAAACTTCTTAGAACAATTTCTAGGTAATTTTTTGGGTTTTCTAATAAGTTAAATTATTATTTTTTTTAAAAAACCATAAGCAGTCACGCTGATACTTGAAACTACATTTGCAATTACATACTGTTTTCGCTACTACACTCATAAATCGTTATGTTGCTTGTGTGTCTAGAAGCTGTAGTAAATTATGTATAAAATTTATACTAATTGGAATATAACGATAACATATGTCAAATTTAACTACATTAATATTGATGAGCCTTTCGATTGAGTGAAAAAACGAAGATTAAAAATATATAATAAAATAATTTTTAATTTTATTTTTTTTATTTATTGGTTTTTATTCATTGCATCGAGACGTAGTTAACGCTATACAACAATTAGTCTAAAGAAAATAAAAGAATCGATCCAAATCTAATCATAACTTGATGCTCTTATGAAACCCTAAGTACACATAAAAATCTGAAGATTAAGTGTTATTATTAACAGTAAAAATTATAATGATTGTTCACAAATTTGTTCTCAAGGGGATTATAAAGTATCAGTATGGTACTTTTTACCTCACCAGGCTCGCAATTTTTGAGAGGTTTTTAAAATTTTCAAATTTTGGCTCGGCCCGTGCAGGCCTATGATATGGGCCGAATTTTAGAACCTATACCATACTGATCTGGTGTTATATATACGTATTAGCGTTAGGGTTAATTAGTGTAGATCATCTGATTGGTTCATCCTACTGGGGTAGCCCTGCTAAAACGTTTAGATTCTTATTGGCTAATTAAAAGTATATCGTCACGTTGATATTGAATCAATCCTTGCTTTATTCAAAATGGAAGACAGCAACGCAAATGCAAAAAGAAAGCGTACACTTGACATTGTAGTCGATTCACCTAATAACTTAGATTTGGATACTTATATTGCGAATTATAAAGGTAACTACTGTTTTTTTTTTTACCGATCTTTTGACTTTCTTAAAACTAAGTGCGATTATATTTATTATAGGACATACCAAAGTTGATCGTTTACTCTTTATAGCAAAACGATGTCCTCCTCTACAGATTGATGCGTACAAGCTTGCTTTGCAAGAACTACGCGATAACTCTTTAGATCATACTAAATATCTCAACACTGCTAATAAACTTAATGAAGTCTTGGCTTCTCAAGGTTATCCATCTTATCCTGTGGATAACGCGTGGGTTGAAACGACTCAAAAACGTGCAAAGACAACTTTGGAAAGGTTAGAGGTTGAATTGAAGAATTTTAAAAATAATTTAATAAAAGAAAGCATAAGAGTAAGTATATCTGATTACTTAAATGCTAAGTAAAACTGATAATTAAATTTAATGTATCATACAGATGGGTCATAATGATCTTGGTGATCATTATTATCATTGCGGAAATCCTACTAATGCGTTAAAGTGTTATTCAAGAACAAGAGATTATTGTACTACATCAAAGCATGTTATAGAAATGTGCTTGAACGTGATCAAAGTATCATTTCATACTTTCTACAATTATTTTGGTTTAGTTTTTTTTTTTTCTTTTTTTTATGAGTCTTGTTTATTATAGGTATCCATCGAATTGGGTAATTTTTCTCACGTACATAGTTATGTTATCAAAGCTGAGTCTACTCCAGATATTCAACCTGTAGTGCAAGCAAAACTTAAAGTTGCTGCTGCGTTGGCGCATCTTGACAGTAACAAATATAAGCAAGCTGCGAATTTGTTCTTGGAAACTAGTTTTGAGATTTCTCATCCTCAAAATAATTATTCTGAGGTAAATTATTCGATAAAAAATCTGACCTTTATATATCTTGACAATGTTTTTAATATAAATTATTATTTGACATCCAGGTCATCTCTCCAAACGACATAGCTGTGTATGGTGGTTTATGTGCACTTGCTTCTTTTGACCGTAAACAACTTAAAAAACAAGTGATCGATAATACGGAATTTAAACAATTTCTTGAACTTGAGCCTCACATACGGGAACTCATTTATGGATTTTATAACTCAAAGTATTCAATTGTGCTGGATATTTTAGACAGATGGAAGGTAATATACTTTTTTACTCTGGTTATAGGCAAAATTCATCAAAATATTTAATATTTAATAAATCATAATTTTATTATTTAATAATGATTAGAATGATTATCTACTTGACCTTCACTTGCACAACCATGTAGAAAGCCTTTATGAAAATATTCGTAAAAAGGCACTGGTACAATATTTCAGTCCTTTCCTTACTGTAGATATGAATAAAATGGCACAATCTTTCGGAACCACAGTTCCAAAGCTAGAAAGAGAACTTGCCAAGCTGATCACAGAAAACCACATTCAAGCACGAATTGACAGTCATAAAAAGGTTTTTAATGTTACTTATTATTTATACTAATTTAAATCTTATGGGTAATCGTATAGTGCAAATGAATAATTTTATCCATTTATTATAAAAGATTCTATGCGCCAAACAACAAGATCATCGTAGTGGCATATTTCAAAAGTCATTGAAGATGGGTGATGATTTTGAACAAAGTACTAATGCAATGTTACTTCGTATGAATTTGTTGAAAATGAACCTTATCGTGCAAACAAATCAGAAGTATGTGTATGTATCGTTTTTTTTTTCATTCATATATTAACTGTTAGATGACCAAAATTTATTTATCTTATCAGGGGAGAAGGAAGTAGGCGTCATTAATTATTGTTATTGATTAAAACTGGAGTTTAGAACCGGGTTATAGTAAACTGGGTTACCCTTGTCAAAACGGTTCAGCCGGGTCAAAATTTTACAACTCGGGTCAAACCGGTTGAATATGTAACCTCTGGAGTCTGTTACTATAACACAGAAAACAAAATTTAACACATTATTATTGTATTGTGAGAATAAACACTTTTTTCTTACTAATTTATCTAAATGTTCAACCTCGCTAATCTGGATTTTAAAAAAAAACTTGCAAACTTTCAGAGGCTACCATATGACTATCTATTGCGAAAATTTTGGCTAAAAATTTTCCTTTGTATAAGCATTCATTATTATTTTCTTTGCTAATATGCAATACTCTGTGTGGCAGAGACGTGTAAATTCTGTGATTTGCTGTGATCGTGGTTTACTACGATTTGCTTCGATTATAGAAAATGTATTTCTCAAATAAATATGGTAACATTTTTAGCAGATATAACAAAATACTTTATATTTCAATAGTTCAAAGAAATAACAACATTATGGGCTATGGGCTATGTATTTGTACATAAAAACTTTTTTTTCGTACAAGTTTTTTCAATAAATGCATGTTTTTTATTAGATGGATTTCTGTTTTATACGAGTTCGTTAATCAGCACATTATGTAATTAAGAAGATATAATGGAAAGATGGGTTAAACATTAGATTTGGGGTGCTGTAGTATATCATAGGACATATGTAAAAAGTAAAATAAATACGCATGGATTACCGTACGTCACTGACTAATGTACCCGGTACTATTCAATCAACCATCAAATTTCTTGAATAGTACCCTCTCGGGTACTAGTAGTTCAATAAGGATTCAATGACTAAAATAATACCCGGGTCTTCTGGATCATGAACCTATGAATTGTACCCGGATATTTTTCACGGGGGTATTATAAGCAAGGGTACTTTAGTTAGTGGCGTACGGTATGTGTGTCCCTTTATGACCTAGATTTTGTCAACAAATTTACCTTAATGTCAGCACTCCCGTTTCGTTTTTACGTCTGGAAGTGGAAATTCTATCTTTCGGTCAATACGTCCCAGGCGAATCAGAGCAAGATCTAATGATTAAATACGATTTGTTGTCATAATGACCTTTATAAACATAAAAAATCGAATTAATAATTTATTTGCATATTAATATAAGCAGGATATTCCTACAAGCTAAACCTTGACATCTATAGAATCAAACCCGTCGAACTGATTTAAAGTTCTGACATAGTTCTTTGAATTTCTCTTTCACCACCTCATCCGCGCCGTATGGATCTTTTCTGTTAAAAATTAAATAAAATGTAATTGTGAATATTGGATTTTGTCAACGGAAAGTTCCCAGGGTCAGGAACAGGTCACTTAACCATGCACCTTATTCACCGTTCAAATAATATAGTACTGCAATTTAAAGAATAATTATTTTAAATTACTAATAAAGATATAAGCAAGACTTCATTTTTTTTTTTCCTCTTAAGCAGTCATGCTAGTACTTTATTAAGATTTTGAAATTACATTTGCAATTATATAAATATCCTTAACATCTAAGTCCAGCATCATCCAGTCATCCTAATAGTATCTAAATGCAACTTACTACATTACTTCAATCAGAAGTAAGCTGCTCATCTAACTACTTAAAGTCTATAATAAAAGGGTCTTCTCCTTTTCATGACAAGTCTTAAAATTGTCTTTTGTACTTCTTTTCTGATTTAGTTTTCTTTTTTTCTTTTCTTTTTTCTATTCTTTGTTGATTTGATTTTCTTTTTTTATTTGATGTTTTTCTCTTTTTTTCTCTTTTTCTCTTTTTCTTTTTATTTTATCTGTTATTTCTTCATTTTTTTCCTATTCATTGATCTTTTCATATTAGATTTTTTATATTTGTTCATAGAATGTATCCTAGACTATTCTTGTTACTATATTTATAAATTGTTATTTTGACCTTGTGTTTAGGAGTTATCTTAGTTTGTCTTGTGTTTTTTTTAGAATAAGATCTTTAATTAGTATCTTTCTTATTCTTATTTCTTTTATTTCTGTTTTTCTAAAGAGTGTTGTATATAACATATATAGAAGGATTTAAATTTTTTTTCTTCTTTTAGTCTTTTCTGAGCTGTTGTGATAGTTATTTTTTGGATTCTTTTTCAAAGATTCTTTTGTCATTTATATGCTGCTAAGTGTGTTTGCATTTCTTTTGGTTTATTTTAACACATTTGGCATTCTATTGTTGCATATATATCTGATCTTCTTCTGTTAAGTTCTTCTAATATTGAAAGTTTATCCATTATACATTTTATAAATATACTTCTTCTGATACTATTTTTTCTTGTCATACAGTATACTCCTTTAGTCATCTTTAGCCTTTTTCAAAATTATATCTAATTATATATTATAATTTCTGATTCTAGTTTTAGTTCTTTAATTGTTTTCATTTCTTTTCATTCTGCTCCTAATTTTAAATTTATTATTAGGTTGCAAAACAGTCTTACTAGTATATTAATATGTTTGTTTTTTCAATCTAGACAGTATTCTATTTCTTTGTAATTGACTTTTTTGACCTATATTATTCTTTTACTTATTGCATCTTTTTTTATTAGACTATCAGTTTTATTATTTCATTTATTCTTACTATAACTTTTAATCTTAAAAAACTCTATCTGAATATTTTTTATTATAATAAGATCTCTAATTTTCATTATTCATATTGTATTCTTCTTTTTAAAAATCTTATTTCTGTCTGCTTGTTTTAAGCCTCTACTAATGTTCCTTATTATAATATTACTATTTGTATATAGTTCTATTTGCTTTTCTTTTGGTATTGTTAAGATTACTATTCATATTATTACTAACTTCATTATTTTTAATATTTATTATCTTTCTAAACTGAGTATTAACTCCTCTTCTAGCCATTTTTGTGTTTTATCTATTTGCACACATTTTATATTTATATTATTTTTAATTTTTGTGTCTTTTTTAGTTTTCAAGTTTGTTGTTCCATCTGTATATATTATATACTTGTTCTTGTTTCTCATTATTTTTCTTCTTAAAACTTCTATTATTTTTTGATTAATATTCTTTTTTTAGATTTTGTTATATGATTATCTTTATTTTTAGCTCTTCTATTATTCATAGTCCCTTAAGTTTTTGTTCTTCAATCTCTAGTTCATTTGTCTTTATTGTTTCTATTATTTGATCTATTGCTATTTTGATTTTGTTGTTATCTTTTTCTATTAATATGTCTGGAATTACATTGATTTTGTTGTTTATTCTTATTTATTGCTGACAGCTATCTTTTAAATGTTCTTCTTTTTTTATACAACCTTTGTATCTGTTAATTTTGATAATTAGTTTATTTTCTTTACTTTGTATTTGTCAATATTTTACTAATATTTTTTTCTTTTTCTTTTTAATTATCTTTCCTAGTTGTTGATAATTTTGCATACTATGTATTATCTATTCTTTTTTCTTTTATTTTCTAAAATATACTTTTATCTTATTTGGATTGCTTAAGAATTTTACCTATTTGTTCTAAAATGTTTTTTAACTTACCTATTTTCTGGTTTACTAAGTACTTCAAGTTCTATTACTTTAAGCTATTCTATTTTTTTTTCTTTATTTGATAAACCTTAGTATCTTTTTAGCTATTGTTGTGTAATTGATTTTTCTCTTCTTGTATCAAGCAGCTGATTTAGATATATTAGACCTGTTTCATTTATTCTAGTTACATTTTTTTTCTATAACTGAATATCTATGAGTTTGTTTATTTTGGTTTTATATTCAAGCATTGTCTATAAAGTAACTTCTGTTCTTATATTTATATTAAGCTTTTTTGTTTTTAATAATATTAGACAAGCTAAGTTACTTTTTTAATTTTTTATATCTTCTAGCATTTTTTTTATTTTTTATATATCTTCTATTAAATCTGTTCTTTGACAGCCTTGTGTTATTCTCAATTTTATTAATTGTTTAAGACTATTTAATCTGTTTAGTCTAAGCAAAACTTTACCATAATATCAAAAAAAAAATTTATTTTATATATAAAATATATAATATATATAAGTTATTAAATCTAAATATAGAGGATGGTAATTCTAGTATAGTGGTTGGGTTGTCATCTTCCAAGTAGCAGGTCTAAGGTTCAAATCCCACTTATAACAAAATTTGGAAATTATATCTGCATTATGGTAACCATCTCCTGTCGATCGGTTGGCCTTATGTGACTGTTACTCAGGTACACCAAGTCAGATCCCTTCAATATTGGGAACTCAGACATCTATGTAAAATGTAATGTTATATATACATAGAGAAATGTTAACCGGTATTGCATGAGACTTTAGTACAAACTATGATAAGACCATCAGATATAGAAAACTAAGGAACTAAGATGATGGAAACTCACTTAAAAATTTCAGAATAAAGAGGTAGCATGAACTTTCAATGATATATTGAACTGGTTGAAGTTCACGAAACACCTTCATAGAAACCGAAGATTAAAACCAAACATCAAATATGTGTAGAGGAGCACATAACCAACCAGGCTGCCAGATTTGCCAAAGGAAAAAGATATATAAGTATACTATACCAGGCTATCTGGATTAGTAGTCTGAAATGAGATTGATAGTTCTGAGTTGTGGCTAGTAGAGGATGATAGAGAAGATGCCAGAAAGATAGATGCTGAAGTTTTAGTGAACTTTACAAGAATAGAAATAGTATAACATAGCTGTTAAACAGATAACTCCTATGACTGCAAGTGTTAAATAACTATTGTTACAGGATTGTAGCCTTCTTAGTACAATACAATTAAGTAACAAGGTCACTTAGTACAGGAATTAACTATTGCAAATATATATAGATGAAGATGTAGTAGTTTATTTTACTATACAGCAATAGGCAAACAGTTCAAGATAGTAATCGTATATAGATTAACTTTTATTAAATAAACATACAATAACAACCTTGTCTATAGAAATTATCCTAGAGAGAGAATATCA